AAAAATTTATTTGTTAAAATTCATGTTTAAATATGCCACAAATTTTTGAGAATATAAATTCACATACCTATAAGTAGTAAGGAATGTTCGTACAAAAGCTGGATCAGCATATATATGATAAGTTAATCTTTCTACCAATTTAACCAAAGTTGCGCCCTTAATTAATGGAACACCTCCATTTTCTCTCGCTTCCAAAACGATATTTTCTGGGCTATCCTGTTCGGCAAATTTATATAAATGTGGTGGAGGTAACCTTAATGGATGCTTCCTTTCCTCGTCCAGAAGGATACTGTCCAATGTTCTCTCTAACATACTCTTTGTATTCAACATTACAAGATCCGCCATCCAACTATTTTTATCTTCGACGGATTTGGCAACAAGAATAACGTTAGGATGGTCCCTTGGTGCAATTTCAAAGGCATTTTTTAATTCTGAAAAATAAAATGATATGAATTTAATTAAATAATGTAAATATTTGATATTAAGATTACTACTTTTTAAACTTACCTTCAGTATCCTCTTTATCAATAATATCAACTTTTCTGATAAAAAATCTTTCTTTTAAACGCAGCTCGCCTTGGTGAGGCGGATGTCCCACTACACCAACCGCTGCAACAGTAACACTGACTCTTTTGCCACCACTTGGTTTACAAAGGACTAATAAACCATCAAAAAGAAGAGCCCTTCGTTCCGTTAGCCTCCTTCCATTACTTACTTTCCCCAGCATGTCCTCTAAACATAAAAAGCAATGAGAACACACTTCTGTATAAATTATATATATAAAAGAGACATCTATTTCTTTCATACCACGTATAAATTCATTACAACACTGCCCAACATCCCTTTGATCCCAACCATCAACAGTTTTTTGTAATTCATTAGTTTTTTCTAATGCTGCTTGCCTCCTAGCTCTACTTTGCATTCGTAGACCTGTATCCTTTTTTGGAAGACTCGCCATAGATTGTAATAATTCCATCTGCAATGGACTTAAAAGGCCTTGTACTTGTTCCAATGTTTCACCATCTTCAGTATTTGGTGTACGTTTCTGTAATACCTAAATAATATATTAAAATATTATTCAATTGCTAGAATATTGTGTAGAATGTTAGAATAATATCTAAATATAATATTTTCCAAACAGTACCTTGATGTAGTGAAAATACAAAAAACAATGCCATATTGGTTGTAGTAAAAGTTTTGGCAAATAATATTTGACAGCTTCTTTAAAACCATGCCCTGCTGCTCTTAATGCAGCATTAGCTTCAGGTCTTGATAATAAATTTGTTAAAACTTCTCGACTAGCTGGACTGTTAATATCTTTTGCATACCTAATATTAAGGTTTCCAATAATTTATAATTCAGAAGAAATTATACATAATTACTTAACAATTTTATAAATACTTTATATAAACATCAAATTCTGCTGCTTCTGCCAATTCTTCAAAACATGAACCAACTGTAGGTGTTTGTTTTTCTTCAGTAATTTCCATGATATCTTCTAAACTACCAAGTAGTGTTACAGTAACTTCATAAATGTCCATAATATTACTGAAAAGTGTTTCAATTTCAGTTCTATCTTGTGCTAACTTTGCAATTTCTTCCCGAAATACCTATTTAAAAAAATAAATTAACTTTATTTTTTATGAAATGATAGTAAACTACAAAAACTAATTAATTATTTTACCTTAATGATCATGTGGAGATCGCGTAAATAATGACGTTCGTCGTGTATGAGATCCCTGACAGATTCTTCGTAAGTTTGAGAAACCACTGCACCTAAGCCACTTTGTGGACCCTCTGCATAATCATCTTGGTAAAATAGGTCCATTAATACCTATTAATAAATTACTAATTAATTACTCATCACTCACTGTGTTGTTATTAATATACTTATTACAAAAATATGGCACAAATATTGCTATATGTTATTGTATTTTTCTAAAATATCGTTACCATATCTGCACACATTGCAACCCTTATATCTTCACAAGATATTTCCACATGACGTATATTCTTGACATAGTTTCCAGCTAGCTGAAAAGAAAATAGTCTTAAACATTTTCAAGAATTAGTGACAGTGAATAATCCAGGAAAAAAATTTACAAATGACAATATTGAAAAAACTAATTAATAATAGCTTTTACCAACCTTCAAAATATCTGCAGAAATATATTCCAAGACTCCAACCACAAAAAGACTAACTTGTAAATCAATTTTCTGTTGTAATACTTCCTATTAATATAATTATAATACTTATGAATAAATGTACAAAAATATGTATACAAGAAAAATTTTATTCCTTTTATTACTTTTTGTAATAGTTGATGAATTTTGTCAACTGGAAGAACTAGCGGTGATTTCTTTTTCCCTTTTTCCAAGGCATCTCTTGCATCTCTGAGTGCCCATCTGTCAATGGGAGTAGGAAATGTACGTCTTACTCTTTCTTCCACATCTTGAGGTGTATGTGGAGGAGGATGACCACAAAGCATTCCCAACAGCCTTAAGATTAAACTCTCAACGTAGTCTAAGGCATCTTGTCGTGCTTCAAGACTAGGATGTACTTGCTCCAAAACCTATTTCATATTAATTGTCTATGAAATTATAATAGCTATCATTTAGAACAGAATGTTAGAAAAAAAAAAAAAAAAAACAAAGAGAAAGAAGGAATATAGTAACTTTGTAATTTGCGATTTAAGATTGTTACCTTTATTTAGTTTTATTTAAAATTGAGTATCACGTAATGCCATACTATAATACATTCATATAAATAGCTACAAAATATTCATTTGGCAGATAATTAAAGAAAAATGTACAAAAAGAATAATCAGTTACGCATAAAATATTTAATTCATAACTAATGAGTCAGGAAAAAACCTTTTCTTTCAACTAAAAAATTAGATCTCTTATTTATTACTTATTCTCATAAAAATAAATAATGTTTTGTATTAAAAAGCAATATTTTCCTTTATTTAGATACAAACTGTTTTCAATAAATTAGGTATCATTACAAGAATAACATATACTATAATACATTCATATAAATAGCTACAAAATATTCATTTGGCAGATAATTAAAGAAAAATGTACAAAAAGAATAATCAGTTACGCATAAAATATTTAATTCATAACTAATGAGTCAGGAAAAAACCTTTTCTTTCAACTAAAAAATTAGATCTCTTATTTATTACTTATTCTCATAAAAATAAATAATGTTTTGTATTAAAAAGCAATATTTTCCTTTATTTAGATACAAACTGTTTTCAATAAATTAGGTATCATTACAAGAATAACATATAGTAGTTAATTTTCAAAATATTTATTCCCTGTTAATTATGACATATCACGAAACATAACATTTAGACGAATCTCGGGATCGAACATTGTTACGCACTTGAAACATAACAAACTTGGTAGAACCTAAAAAGGCATAAAATACTAACATGCATATCGCGTGACAATGACAATAGAACGAATCGACAAAAGTATAAGTATAATAATAAAATAAGATAAGAATTTTGTAAAGTCTGTAGTAAGAGATTCGAAGAGAATACCTTGCGTAGGGAGTTGACAAACACTCCCTTCCACTTGGCGGCGTTTTCTTCTTTCTGAAAGTCGTAGCCTGACGGCTCGCCCACCACTGACGCCGGCGACGAAAACATCTCCACGTACTGGTACAGGCTATCACGCACCCGACAGAATAACGCGCACTAGCTAGAGAATACGCTCCGGAGAGTTTCCGAATTTTACAAACAGCATTTCTTCGGGAATCACAAAAACTTGACAGAGACGTCTGTCTGTCCGTCAGTCCGTTTCTCAGGGCGCAGACATCTCTGTGGGTAATGCGACAGCTAAGCCACTTGGTGAAATTTTTCCTGGATTCGGACGCTTCTGCCACTTATTATTGGAAGCATTTCTGAGGCTAACCCGAGAGTTCTCGAGTTATGCCGTTTGTGCATTTTATACGCCCTTTTGCTCAAATTTTTGTCAGAACCTAGTGCGAGCACCACTACTATGAAAGGATATCATTGCGCGACTCGCATCGATCGATAACTGCGATAGTACTGTCTCCGACGCGATTTGCGAGTTCGAGATATCTCGCTGTACCAATATCGATCGTTGTTCGAGAGTTTTTAAAATTTGTTTGTTGATCAATTATAAAAAGCATTTGGTTCATACATTATATTGTCTAGTACATAATGCATTTTGTGTTTTTATAATTATTGTATGAATAAACTTATATAAGTTCCGAAAATTTCTATTGTTTCGAAAAATGGAACGCGAAAGTTACTAATATTGAAGTAGTGCAAATTTTAAATGAATATTAAAAATAGAATATATAATATGACCAAGACAAAGTAGTTTTGTAATTGTTCTTTATTATCCACATTGTAGCATGTTTAATTAAGAAAATCAATAATGTTAACAGCATGTTACACGAACTTCAGGCAATGGTCGTTAGATGGCAGCAGCAAATTCGGTACGGATACTTTACTCTAAAATTACGAAATCAAGATCGAAAGAGAATACATTAATTAAAAAATAATCATTTCTTTACATCTGTATATTTTTACAACTTAAATATTTAAATCCTTACAATTTATCATATTTATGAAATTAATTTTTCTGCATTTTAAATAAATCAATAAATGATATTGTCAATAAATCATTCTGTATTGAAAATTATTATCAATAGAGTTAATTTCATATCTTACCAACTTAAGATACTGTATAAAGCTATAATAAATAAATAAATAAATTATACTAGATTGTATAAATTTATTATTAGAGTATAAAAAAAGAATACTAAAACATATCTTACAAAACAATTCGTATCAGTTTTTCATTACATTAAATAAATAACTTTAGTAACAATGCTTTGTATTATTCCCTTGAACTATACTGCAGATGTCAATTTTTAACAAAACGCCTAATTCGGGATTCGTTGATAATTTCGCAATGTAACGAATCGATACATCAAATTTCTCTATTTTCATGCCAGGGTCATCCTTTTCTGATTCGATGTATCTTCTTGGAAAATTAGATTCACGCGAATCTTTTCTGCATTTTCACGAAACCTCAACTGCAAAGAACAAACAAAAAAGCGATATATTAAAAAAAGTTATTCATAACAGTTAACCACATAAAATAAATAAATAATTTTTCAGAACAATAAAGCTGCCGGAATATGAACAATAAATCGTAGATAATTTTAAGAACATACTTTATATAATATTTTGTATGTATATATTTAAAAAATATACGTAATAAAGAACGAAGAGTACAAAGATATACAATTTGCATTGTATCCTTACTGAAAGAGTATTGTCAGTAAAAAGAGAGAAAACATTTCTCGCTTATTTTACGCCATTTTGAATCAGTTGGAAAATCAATATTCCGTTGATTATTATAGCCTCTTCGGCTGAGCTCCGGTCCAGACGCCCCAGCTCAGGGTCTAAACATCCCCATCTGTGGCTGTTGTCATGGACCTGAGCGATGTCTTCCTAGAACTCCAACGAAGGGCTTCCTTCCGCCGGAAGACAATGTGCAGCGTTGAAAATTGCCCACATTTATTACTTTGCATTCTGCGTTACTTAAAATTTAACAGTAAAAGAAACTTTTTAGCGCCTTTGGCAAGATTTCTGAGCGCCTTTAGGCTCAGGGAGGTCAATAGATAGGTCAGGGATAGTCAAAGGGTTAAAAGTACTTCCAAGGGAGGAGAAGAATTTGTCAACGCTCATTTTCAGCACCCAGCGCTCAGCACCCAAGGCTCGCGATCAGTATCCACGCTTGGAGCAGCTCGGGACGATCGCACAGAGGCGGGAAGAGCGAATGCTGATCTATCCCATTGCTGCATGTTCCGTCTGTTGAAAAATAGAAGAGAACGAGCAGAGAAAACAAAGTTTCTTGCCAAACACGGAGGGCATATAAACGGAGGGATTATCAACGTGGACGCTTTTCGCAATCCTCGTTCAACGATAGGGCGGAGGAGCGTATGTCGAGATCGGTTTAACCGGTTTTACGTAGAACGCGATAACCGGAGAGGCAACACGACCAGGCTAATCGGAAATGGAGGATTGTGCAACTTTGGAGGCCCGTTCCTAACGTATCGCCGATATAAATGCCCGTGCTCGCTGTACTGCGCAGTAGAGAGTTGCGAAATCACCACCCACGCGGCCCGTGTGTGCGTATTTATGAAACAATTTCGTATCAGTCGAGCCACATTCGCCAATCATGCTAGTTATGGATGAACGAGAACAGCGGACATACGAGGCCAATGAGAGCGCGCCCGTTTCGCTTTCCTTCCAGGCACTTCCGGTTTAGCGAAGCTTCCACATGAGTCTTCCAGGTCGACTCTCGGTTTCCGACAACATGGCGGAACCATCGCGCGTTCACCCGAGACGCGAGAGCTTTCCATTTTATTCATAACTGGCCGAGATTCGTATTTGCAGACTGGCTTCCTTATTACAGAATTTCTCCACGATTTCTTCACTCGATTCGCTTCTTTAACCCTTTGACTATGGCAGACATTGAAACGCACCGGTCGTACCACACAGGTAGAAATTCCTTTACAATGTCCGCCGAGAACGGCAAAATTTTGGGTAGAGATGCGCCCTCCGTGTCACAAAAGCAAACTGTGTTGAGCGCTTATATACCTCTTCCGTGTCACAAAAGCAAAATTTCTGAGCGCGTATATGCGAATACGTAATAAAGAACGAAGAGTACAAAGATATACAATTTGCATTGTATCCTTACTGAAAGAGTATTGTCAGTAAAAAGAGAGAAAACATTTCTCGCTTATTTTACGCCATTTTGAATCAGTTGGAAAATCAATATTCCGTTGATTATTTTAATTCTGCCATGTTATCGACAATGAAATATCAATGAAAAAGCAAGTCAATTACTGCAAGTAGGTCTATACTATTTGACCGTATCTAAATACTACAGACATGTCGGGTTATCAGGTTCATCCGACGGAGTTAGCTACAAATTGAACTCTTGCTGACACGAAACCTCTACACGCAATTTTCTGAATGAAGTCCAGCAATAGTACTCGAGAATACAAATATTTTCGCGCTATTTCACTGTTTGGAAAAAGCTCAGAGTCATTAATCCACGGCGAAAACAAAGTCGACTCTTAATCGGTAAATTCAAAAATACCATCCTTATCCCTAACTACTAAATTTAAAATACTAAACCAAATTTAACATTGAACAAAAATATCAGCAGTATCAGCAATTCAAATTTTAAATATCATCCACGACAGATATTATGTTAGCACATATCCACATTTAGCTCTAATTACTATTGGTAATTACTATCAACATTTACTATTAACAATTACTATAGTGTCAGCAACGTTGTATTAAATTCAACATAAGTTCAACAAGAGACGCCATAAGAGATTTGAACCTAACTTAAACCTGACTCGAACCTATTGTTATTTACAGGTGAGCAATTTATCTTTTCACCTGAAGTTTCATCGAAACAGACGTAAGCTTACAGAATTTCCAGGTAAAAACACGACGATCCAATTATCATAGCAGTACAAGTGCCATGAGAAAGTAGTATATACACTATCTTAAGGACTTTGCAATCTCGCAACATCAGAGCTATCAGAAGACACAGAGCATATCAGAGGACACAGAGCACATCAGAGGACACAGAGCACATCAGAGGACACAGAGCACATCAGAGCTATGATCTTCGCGTAATCAAGATGGCCGAGCACCGCGGGGAATAACGAAGGATGAAGGATCGAATCGCTGCGCGTGCCAGCAAGAGTATCTTCTATCATTAGACGCGCTATCATCGAATTATTTCTGATGCGAATCGGCACGATTGCGACACATCCACGTCAGATAAGATGGCGCGAGTTCGTTTCGGTTCGACAATGACTTATCTGTACCAACATTACGCTCATCTTACATCACGTTTACGAGTCTCGTTACACATGCACGCGTTCGCATCGCGAATTTCGTATACGTGAATGTGATCTTATCGATAGAACGACAAGAAAAAGAAAGAAGAAACAAAATCGGTCTCGTGGCGCAGTACATCTCGCGCAGATTTCTTTTCAAGATCGAGCATTCGGCACTTTCTATTCAACAGCGTCATAGCGATCGTAACCACGACAAACGGACATCGAATGCGCCACGGAGAATCAGGCACGTGATCACTATGACGAAGCTTGCTATTAATTTCCCTCTGTCCCACTGTTGCAAGTTCAGAATGATCCGGGAAGACCGATACGCGTAGATGCAACTCTTTTCTAGGAAGATCGAGCTTTCTCAGAAATGTACGTATGCAAATGGTATTTAAATCTCGATGCTCGTATTTCGATTCTTTAATAACCATCAATTTTCCAATTTACATACTCGTTGACTAAATGGAAAATTCAAGTCGCTTACCTAATAACAGGGTATGCCCCGTTTCCTTTGTATCCTAGTTTTTCGGACATCCGGAAGAGTTTCTGCAGGTTCCTCACGTTTATGTCAAAGATCGACCTCTTCTTGCGACCACTGGCAAAGAGAATAAGAGAAAGATGAAGAAACGTAAGGAAAAGTAATCCAGAGGTGGTGTTTATTGAGAGACGCAATTTATACACACTTCTTATTCGCTTCCAGCTGACGACCTCCCCTAATCACGTTCACCAATTTCCCCGTCATTTTCGAAAGAGCCATCAGGGTCTCTAGCTCTGCTCGCCTCTGATCCGATAATCGTTTCTGTCGTCTGCGTATGCGATACAAAATTTGTTAAAGAAACAACTGTGGTTAGGGTCAATCTCTCTGCCAAGTCTGTTCATCGCTTAACTTGAGAATTTTATTTTCCAATCACAAGTGTGTCAGTTTATCACGATATTAGCAGTAATAGCTTCATCGAGAAAAATCTTTTTCGGTGATTCTCTCTCATCGGAACGATTCAAAGAATTTTAGGGATAAGGCTTTCAGTGATTCTTTCTGATCGGAATGATTCAAAGAATTCTAGGGAAAAGGCTATATTTCCGATCAATGAATATTACGATCTATCCTCGTTCGATCGACTCTTTTGCTCTCTTTATTACACACGTTTCTCGTCTAATCGCGCGAATTATGGCCACGAATATGCAAAATATGGCTACTCACTCTTTAACGCTGCCCGATATTTCTTCGTTCACTTGTCCCGCGATGTCTTCCTTCGCCAGGTTCGCGAAATTCAGCAGACTGTCGTAGATACCGACAGTGTTTCCACGTGCAACTCTATCACGAGACAATACCAACAAAATTATTCCTTGCTCGAAAACTTTTAACGATTAGTCTAATTTAAAAACAATTATATATGTAGGAAGGATTGTAGTAAAAAGCAAACATAGATCCCGATGAAGGGTGACACCATCCAAATAAAGACTCCTTTCACGATACTAGGTTTACGGACGCTATCTGTATACCTATTTCTAAGGACACCAGTCAAATTGACAGGTAAAGGAAACAACGTGTCTTTTCTTTTAACGATTAGTCTAATTTAAAAACAATTATATATGTAGGAAGGATTGTAGTAAAAAGCAAACATAGATCCCGATGAAGGGTGACACCATCCAAATAAAGACTCCTTTCACGATACTAGGTTTACGGACGCTATCTGTATACCTATTTCTAAGGACACCAGTCAAATTGACAGGTAAAGGAAACAACGTGTCTTTTCTTTTAACGATTAGTCTAATTTAAAAACAATTATATATGTAGGAAGGATTGTAGTAAAAAGCAAACATAGATCCCGATGAAGGGTGACACCATCCAAATAAAGACTCCTTTCACGATACTAGGTTTACGGACGCTATCTGTATACCTATTTCTAAGGACACCAGTCAAATTGACAGGTAAAGGAAACAACGTGTCTTTTCTTTTAACGATTAGTCTAATTTAAAAACAATTATATATGTAGGAAGGATTGTAGTAAAAAGCAAACATAGATCCCGATGAAGGGTGACACCATCCAAATAAAGACTCCTTTCACGATACTAGGTTTACGGACGCTATCTGTATACCTATTTCTAAGGACACCAGTCAAATTGACAGGTAAAGGAAACAACGTGTCTTTTCTTTTAACGATTAGTCTAATTTAAAAACAATTATATATGTAGGAAGGATTGTAGTAAAAAGCAAACATAGATCCCGATGAAGGGTGACACCATCCAAATAAAGACTCCTTTCACGATACTAGGTTTACGGACGCTATCTGTATACCTATTTCTAAGGACACCAGTCAAATTGACAGGTAAAGGAAACAACGTGTCTTTTCTTTTAACGATTAGTCTAATTTAAAAACAATTATATATGTAGGAAGGATTGTAGTAAAAAGCAAACATAGATCCCGATGAAGGGTGACACCATCCAAATAAAGACTCCTTTCACGATACTAGGTTTACGGACGCTATCTGTATACCTATTTCTAAGGACACCAGTCAAATTGACAGGTAAAGGAAACAACGTGTCTTTTCTTTTAACGATTAGTCTAATTTAAAAACAATTATATATGTAGGAAGGATTGTAGTAAAAAGCAAACATAGATCCCGATGAAGGGTGACACCATCCAAATAAAGACTCCTTTCACGATACTAGGTTTACGGACGCTATCTGTATACCTATTTCTAAGGACACCAGTCAAATTGACAGGTAAAGGAAACAACGTGTCTTTTCTTTTAACGATTAGTCTAATTTAAAAACAATTATATATGTAGGAAGGATTGTAGTAAAAAGCAAACATAGATCCCGATGAAGGGTGACACCATCCAAATAAAGACTCCTTTCACGATACTAGGTTTACGGACGCTATCTGTATACCTATTTCTAAGGACACCAGTCAAATTGACAGGTAAAGGAAACAACGTGTCTTTTCTTTTAACGATTAGTCTAATTTAAAAACAATTATATATGTAGGAAGGATTGTAGTAAAAAGCAAACATAGATCCCGATGAAGGGTGACACCATCCAAATAAAGACTCCTTTCACGATACTAGGTTTACGGACGCTATCTGTATACCTATTTCTAAGGACACCAGTCAAATTGACAGGTAAAGGAAACAACGTGTCTTTTCTTTTAACGATTAGTCTAATTTAAAAACAATTATATATGTAGGAAGGATTGTAGTAAAAAGCAAACATAGATCCCGATGAAGGGTGACACCATCCAAATAAAGACTCCTTTCACGATACTAGGTTTACGGACGCTATCTGTATACCTATTTCTAAGGACACCAGTCAAATTGACAGGTAAAGGAAACAACGTGTCTTTTCTTTTAACGATTAGTCTAATTTAAAAACAATTATATATGTAGGAAGGATTGTAGTAAAAAGCAAACATAGATCCCGATGAAGGGTGACACCATCCAAATAAAGACTCCTTTCACGATACTAGGTTTACGGACGCTATCTGTATACCTATTTCTAAGGACACCAGTCAAATTGACAGGTAAAGGAAACAACGTGTCTTTTCTTTTAACGATTAGTCTAATTTAAAAACAATTATATATGTAGGAAGGATTGTAGTAAAAAGCAAACATAGATCCCGATGAAGGGTGACACCATCCAAATAAAGACTCCTTTCACGATACTAGGTTTACGGACGCTATCTGTATACCTATTTCTAAGGACACCAGTCAAATTGACAGGTAAAGGAAACAACGTGTCTTTTCTTTTAACGATTAGTCTAATTTAAAAACAATTATATATGTAGGAAGGATTGTAGTAAAAAGCAAACATAGATCCCGATGAAGGGTGACACCATCCAAATAAAGACTCCTTTCACGATACTAGGTTTACGGACGCTATCTGTATACCTATTTCTAAGGACACCAGTCAAATTGACAGGTAAAGGAAACAACGTGTCTTTTCTTTTAACGATTAGTCTAATTTAAAAACAATTATATATGTAGGAAGGATTGTAGTAAAAAGCAAACATAGATCCCGATGAAGGGTGACACCATCCAAATAAAGACTCCTTTCACGATACTAGGTTTACGGACGCTATCTGTATACCTATTTCTAAGGACACCAGTCAAATTGACAGGTAAAGGAAACAACGTGTCTTTTCTTTTAACGATTAGTCTAATTTAAAAACAATTATATATGTAGGAAGGATTGTAGTAAAAAGCAAACATAGATCCCGATGAAGGGTGACACCATCCAAATAAAGACTCCTTTCACGATACTAGGTTTACGGACGCTATCTGTATACCTATTTCTAAGGACACCAGTCAAATTGACAGGTAAAGGAAACAACGTGTCTTTTCTTTTAACGATTAGTCTAATTTAAAAACAATTATATATGTAGGAAGGATTGTAGTAAAAAGCAAACATAGATCCCGATGAAGGGTGACACCATCCAAATAAAGACTCCTTTCACGATACTAGGTTTACGGACGCTATCTGTATACCTATTTCTAAGGACACCAGTCAAATTGACAGGTAAAGGAAACAACGTGTCTTTTCTTTTAACGATTAGTCTAATTTAAAAACAATTATATATGTAGGAAGGATTGTAGTAAAAAGCAAACATAGATCCCGATGAAGGGTGACACCATCCAAATAAAGACTCCTTTCACGATACTAGGTTTACGGACGCTATCTGTATACCTATTTCTAAGGACACCAGTCAAATTGACAGGTAAAGGAAACAACGTGTCTTTTCTTTTAACGATTAGTCTAATTTAAAAACAATTATATATGTAGGAAGGATTGTAGTAAAAAGCAAACATAGATCCCGATGAAGGGTGACACCATCCAAATAAAGACTCCTTTCACGATACTAGGTTTACGGACGCTATCTGTATACCTATTTCTAAGGACACCAGTCAAATTGACAGGTAAAGGAAACAACGTGTCTTTTCTTTTAACGATTAGTCTAATTTAAAAACAATTATATATGTAGGAAGGATTGTAGTAAAAAGCAAACATAGATCCCGATGAAGGGTGACACCATCCAAATAAAGACTCCTTTCACGATACTAGGTTTACGGACGCTATCTGTATACCTATTTCTAAGGACACCAGTCAAATTGACAGGTAAAGGAAACAACGTGTCTTTTCTTTTAACGATTAGTCTAATTTAAAAACAATTATATATGTAGGAAGGATTGTAGTAAAAAGCAAACATAGATCCCGATGAAGGGTGACACCATCCAAATAAAGACTCCTTTCACGATACTAGGTTTACGGACGCTATCTGTATACCTATTTCTAAGGACACCAGTCAAATTGACAGGTAAAGGAAACAACGTGTCTTTTCTTTTAACGATTAGTCTAATTTAAAAACAATTATATATGTAGGAAGGATTGTAGTAAAAAGCAAACATAGATCCCGATGAAGGGTGACACCATCCAAATAAAGACTCCTTTCACGATACTAGGTTTACGGACGCTATCTGTATACCTATTTCTAAGGACACCAGTCAAATTGACAGGTAAAGGAAACAACGTGTCTTTTCTTTTAACGATTAGTCTAATTTAAAAACAATTATATATGTAGGAAGGATTGTAGTAAAAAGCAAACATAGATCCCGATGAAGGGTGACACCATCCAAATAAAGACTCCTTTCACGATACTAGGTTTACGGACGCTATCTGTATACCTATTTCTAAGGACACCAGTCAAATTGACAGGTAAAGGAAACAACGTGTCTTTTCTTTTAACGATTAGTCTAATTTAAAAACAATTATATATGTAGGAAGGATTGTAGTAAAAAGCAAACATAGATCCCGATGAAGGGTGACACCATCCAAATAAAGACTCCTTTCACGATACTAGGTTTACGGACGCTATCTGTATACCTATTTCTAAGGACACCAGTCAAATTGACAGGTAAAGGAAACAACGTGTCTTTTCTTTTAACGATTAGTCTAATTTAAAAACAATTATATATGTAGGAAGGATTGTAGTAAAAAGCAAACATAGATCCCGATGAAGGGTGACACCATCCAAATAAAGACTCCTTTCACGATACTAGGTTTACGGACGCTATCTGTATACCTATTTCTAAGGACACCAGTCAAATTGACAGGTAAAGGAAACAACGTGTCTTTTCTTTTAACGATTAGTCTAATTTAAAAACAATTATATATGTAGGAAGGATTGTAGTAAAAAGCAAACATAGATCCCGATGAAGGGTGACACCATCCAAATAAAGACTCCTTTCACGATACTAGGTTTACGGACGCTATCTGTATACCTATTTCTAAGGACACCAGTCAAATTGACAGGTAAAGGAAACAACGTGTCTTTTCTTTTAACGATTAGTCTAATTTAAAAACAATTATATATGTAGGAAGGATTGTAGTAAAAAGCAAACATAGATCCCGATGAAGGGTGACACCATCCAAATAAAGACTCCTTTCACGATACTAGGTTTACGGACGCTATCTGTATACCTATTTCTAAGGACACCAGTCAAATTGACAGGTAAAGGAAACAACGTGTCTTTTCTTTTAACGATTAGTCTAATTTAAAAACAATTATATATGTAGGAAGGATTGTAGTAAAAAGCAAACATAGATCCCGATGAAGGGTGACACCATCCAAATAAAGACTCCTTTCACGATACTAGGTTTACGGACGCTATCTGTATACCTATTTCTAAGGACACCAGTCAAATTGACAGGTAAAGGAAACAACGTGTCTTTTCTTTTAACGATTAGTCTAATTTAAAAACAATTATATATGTAGGAAGGATTGTAGTAAAAAGCAAACATAGATCCCGATGAAGGGTGACACCATCCAAATAAAGACTCCTTTCACGATACTAGGTTTACGGACGCTATCTGTATACCTATTTCTAAGGACACCAGTCAAATTGACAGGTAAAGGAAACAACGTGTCTTTTCTTTTAACGATTAGTCTAATTTAAAAACAATTATATATGTAGGAAGGATTGTAGTAAAAAGCAAACATAGATCCCGATGAAGGGTGACACCATCCAAATAAAGACTCCTTTCACGATACTAGGTTTACGGACGCTATCTGTATACCTATTTCTAAGGACACCAGTCAAATTGACAGGTAAAGGAAACAACGTGTCTTTTCTTTTAACGATTAGTCTAATTTAAAAACAATTATATATGTAGGAAGGATTGTAGTAAAAAGCAAACATAGATCCCGATGAAGGGTGACACCATCCAAATAAAGACTCCTTTCACGATACTAGGTTTACGGACGCTATCTGTATACCTATTTCTAAGGACACCAGTCAAATTGACAGGTAAAGGAAACAACGTGTCTTTTCTTTTAACGATTAGTCTAATTTAAAAACAATTATATATGTAGGAAGGATTGTAGTAAAAAGCAAACATAGATCCCGATGAAGGGTGACACCATCCAAATAAAGACTCCTTTCACGATACTAGGTTTACGGACGCTATCTGTATACCTATTTCTAAGGACACCAGTCAAATTGACAGGTATAGGAAACAACGTGTCTTTTCTTTTAACGATTAGTCTAATTTAAAAACAATTATATATGTAGGAAGGATTGTAGTAAAAAGCAAACATAGATCCCGATGAAGGGTGACACCATCCAAATAAAGACTCCTTTCACGATACTAGGTTTACGGACGTTATCTGTATACCTATTTCTAAGGACACCAGTCAAATTGACAGGTAAAGGAAACAACGTGTCTTTTCTTTTAACGATTAGTTTAATTTAAAAACAATTATATATGTAGGAAGGATTATAGTAAAACTAGGCTCTTTGCTTCTGGGTAACTTCTTTATTCTCTTCGTACTCTGCTCGGATAGTGCCCCAAAAACGCATCCCTCGTTGTTTTATAGGGCGTGTTCCCACTCCGTGGTCTCGTCTTCGCGTGCCCATAGCCTCTTCGGCTGAGCTCCGGTCCAGACGCCCCAGCTCAGGGTCTAAACATCCCCATCTGTGGCTGTTGTCATGGACCTGAGCGATGTCTTCCTAGAACTCCAACGAAGGGCTTCCTTCCGCCGGAAGACAATGTGCAGCGTTGAAAATTGCCCACATTTATTACTTTGCATTCTGCGTTACTTAAAATTTAACAGTAAAAGAAACTTTTTAGCGCCTTTGGCAAGATTTCTGAGCGCCTTTAGGCTCAGGGAGGTCAATAGATAGGTCAGGGATAGTCAAAGGGTTAAAAGTACTTCCAAGGGAGGAGAAGAATTTGTGTCAACGCTCATTTTCAGCACCCAGCGCTCAGCACCCAAGGCTCGCGATCAGTATCCACGCTTGGAGCAGCTCGGGACGATCGCACAGAGGCGGGAAGAGCGAATGCTGATCTATCCCATTGCTGCATGTTCCGTCTGTTGAAAAATAGAAGAGAACGAGCAGAGAAAACAAAGTTTCTTGCCAAACACGGAGGGCATATAAACGGAGGGATTATCAACGTGGACGCTTTTCGCAATCCTCGTTCAACGATAGGGCGGAGGAGCGTATGTCGAGATCGGTTTAACCGGTTTTACGTAGAACGCGATAACCGGAGAGGCAACACGACCAGGCTAATCGGAAATGGAGGATTGTGCAACTTTGGAGGCCCGTTCCTAACGTATCGCCGATATAAATGCCCGTGCTCGCTGTACTGCGCAGTAGAGAGTTGCGAAATCACCACCCACGCGGCCCGTGTGTGCGTATTTATGAAACAATTTCGTATCAGTCGAGCCACATTCGCCAATCATGCTAGTTATGGATGAACGAGAACAGCGGACATACGAGGCCAATGAGAGCGCGCCCGTTTCGCTTTCCTTCCAGGCACTTCCGGTTTAGCGAAGCTTCCACATGAGTCTTCCAGGTCGACTCTCGGTTTCCGACAACATGGCGGAACCATCGCGCGTTCACCCGAGACGCGAGAGCTTTCCATTTTATTCATAACTGGCCGAGATTCGTATTTGCAGACTGGCTTCCTTATTACAGAATTTCTCCACGATTTCTTCACTCGATTCGCTTCTTTAACCCTTTGACTATGGCAGACATTGAAACGCACCGGTCGTACCACACAGGTAGAAATTCCTTTACAATGTCCGCCGAGAACGGCAAAATTTTGGGTAGAGATGCGCCCTCCGTGTCACAAAAGCAAACTGTGTTGAGCGCTTATATACCTCTTCCGTGTCACAAAAGCAAAATTTCTGAGCGCGTATATGCGCCCACAGTAGCCAAGGGGTTAATTTGCCAAATTTTTCTGCCTTTCCTTTCTGTTGGAAGGCAACGATACGTGTGTGCGTGTGTCGGCGAGTGATTGCTATGTGTGAAAGAGGCAATGCGTCTCTTCGTTTGTTTTCTCTTTCTCTTTTGCTCAGTCTTGTCCGAGTCGCAGAAGAGAACGCAATTCACTGTATACAGAAATATATTATACATGTGGGATTGGAATAAGTACGGCCCTGGAAGAATGTCAAGTGTGTTTGGACCCAGAACGAAAGAGACCGCGCGCAACAGGATCGATTTTAATGAATGCTTAGGTTAGAGTGAAAGATTAGAGATGCGTGCAGAGTGATTGAAGTACCGGGCCCACCGAGGTTGCGTGGGAAAACAGTATGATTGCACAGGAAAGCCTGGAAAGTATGGAAAAGTATATGAAAAGTATGGAAAAGGACAGAGTGAATGCTTAAATAAGGATGCAAGGGCGCGGGCAGCACCAGTCCTTCACGGTCCTAAAGATAGTGTCTAAGAAGTAAAAGTCGAGAGTACCCGTAGCAGGTCTCTAGTTTCGTAGCCGATGATATAAGCATAAGTTTATTGTATTTTAAGAAGCAGTAAAACAACATTACTTTAGTCCATCCACCCACCCAGATCCTACATACATTGTATAACGTTTATTAATTTTAATAAATATATTTTAATCAAGAAAACTGCAACAGTTTCATTCACGACTTATGCTTCGATAGCGGTTTAGCTCCTCTTCCGGTGTCGATGACCTCCGTTGCTCCATCGCTTTGAAATAATTGAGCCGTTTATTTGGAAAGTGGCCTAAGTCCATTTATACTTAAATCGAGATATTCAAGTTTGTGTTTCAATGCAATTAAAAATATACGTACAGGATACTAACGAGTCATTCTGCTTAAGTGTATCTAAAGGAGTTGAATTTATAGTTCCTACTAAAATAATGACAATTATTAAGCGAATAATATACGTTTTCTTACCAAGAATGGAGTTAGGCCACTTTCAAAATTAACAACCAGATTTCTTATAAAATTTCAAAGGCTTTCAGTGATTCTTTCTGATCGGAATGATTCAAAGAATTCTAGGGAAAAGGCTATATTTCCGATCAATGAATATTACGATCTATCCTCGTTCGATCGACTCTTTTGCTCTCTTTATTACACACGTTTCTCGTCTAATCGCGCGAATTATGGCCACGAATATGCAAAATATGGCTACTCACTCTTTAACGCTGCCCGATATTTCTTCGTTCACTTGTCCCGCGATGTCTTCCTTCGCCAGGTTCGCGAAATTCAGCAGACTGTCGTAGATACCGACAGTGTTTCCACGTGCAACTCTATCACGAGACAATACCAACAAAATTATTCCTTGCTCGAAACTAGTATAGACATTAGCCTCTCATCACCAATTTCCATTCACTGATACTCTCGATCGAACGATTAAGCCTCTAAACACTAATGTAAATCTTCGCAACTGCAAAACGCGTCTCAAACCTCGATGATTCTTAAAAACACCAAACCTAAAGATTCCCGTAATGACCATGGGAAAAAGGACCATTCTTCGATCGACCACTACTCGATCGACTTACTCTTCTCGAAAATCGAGTAAAAATGTCAATATCTACCTGTCGTATCCTGGCTGTGCAGACGCGATTTCGTTCAGGCAAAGCAGTCCAAATACGATCGCTACTGCCACCCAGGACTTCCCGGAAGCGATTCTGTCCGCAATGCAGTTCATGCTTGACGTTGAATAGTGGAGAACCGTAGGAGAACGATTGGTACGCGGGAACGAGCTCGATATTTTTACGAAAATGCGTTGATCGATGTTGGAAATCGTGTCGGAGACGAGTTGTCTGGTTCGTCTGGTTCTTGCTTGAAACTGTAACGTTACGAGGCTCTGGTGCGCGTATATACTCTTGATGAACACCTCCCCCCCCGCCATCCCACTTGAAAAGCCATTGACTACACCCCCTTTCGTGATAATCGTCTCGAAGCCTGTTCCTTTCGCCTGTCACGCGATAAATCGATATCGAATAAATCGAATTGATTTTCTGAAATTTCTCATTTCCCACCGTTTTTCGCTCTATCGTGACGCACTGTTCACGGAGGAAAGAAATACCTAATCTGGTTTGCGGTGCGCGACGTCCTTTTAATTGTTCACGTGATAGCGAGAGACACAGACAGAGATAGATAGAGAGAGAGAGGGAGAGAGAGAGAGAAGTCCTCGCGATTGGGGACCGCGGGGGTCTGGTAACAATAAGAGAAGAATTACATTGACAATGGGAAACTTCGATAACTACCATGTAGTGCAGTATTCTGCGTTGTTAGAAAGAGTTATCGTATCGTTATATGGTAGTTGACGAAAGTGTTAGAACGTTTATTGAAGCGAAATGTTTTGACGGTCTGCGAACCAGTTGAGGGTGCTTGGTATCTTCTGCGTTGTAGCCTCGAAGAATTATTTAACGAGTGTCGATTAAACAGTAGCATTTATCGGCTACGCCATTGTTACGTGGTAGAAGAGAAAATTTGCTGGAGAAACTTCGATCGAGCTGAAAGGATTAATGGTTCCTCGATAGCATCGACTCTTCTGACTGTTTAGCTAGTTAAAAGTCCTAATCCTCGATGAAGGAAGAACGAAGGAAGGATCTAGGAATTGGGAAATTTATTGCACACAGTGGTATTCGACGGTTCTCGGCAAAATAGGTTTAATCGCCATTACGAGGTTGCACACGACTTCTCTTCAGCACCTCAGAATGCTATTTTAACGGAACGAGGCTGTTTTTAGAGATTTTCGTACGAAAATAAGCGCATCGGTATTATTTCCATGCGATTACGATGTATTTCTGTCCTCTTTAACTTTCACGCATGTCGATGGATCGATAGTCGAGAGTGTCTGAGCTTTCGATGATAGAAAGCGCTTATTTTTTCACTTTATGTAAGGATAAGCTGATACAACTTGCATTGGCCGCAAGATCAGCCGTCGCTCGTGCAGAAGGTCACAATGATTTCTTCTTTTTCCTTATCTCTGCATACTCGAATCCCATAAACGTATCTACCCTAACGTGCTTACATTCCCACCATTTTCGTTGACGTCGTTCCATCGAGATAGGGAAGCATTTTCACCCAGAACAGAGGGGTGATTGCACGCAATGATAATTGAAACGAGGATTTAGACAATTTTACATTTCCACGAAGACATCGCGGACTTTGTCGTCTTTATCCAACGAGCAAGACGTTGGATGAAGAAAGTGGAAATGGAAGAAGTTAGCATCCAGGGTCAGTGCTTTCGTCACCGAAACGTAATACTCCTAATTTATTGGCTATCAGCGGACACGCGACTGAAAGAGAACGCTTACTCGCCCAGATAGCGCACATTTTTCTCGACTCTTTTTCGAGATTTTTACCACAGAAGGGTGAAGGCTTCGCGCGCCAAGATTCGATGATGCACTGATGATTTCTGATACAAGCGAACGCTCGAATAGAAAGTTTCAGCGTGATTAGCGTAGTTTCGTCATTCGCCGTTTAACTCGCTGTCTTGCTGCACATGCGTGTCGGAGAAATTTAACGTGCTTCACGCTCGAGGGAAGGTGTAAGCGGAAAAGTCGTCGTTCTTAGGAAACCGGGAAAGCGTTTTATTTCTTATCGATGCACCGATGCGACTAGCCACGTCTAATGATACGGATTTAAAGATACAGAGATAAATGACGTGATTTCCTAATAAAAATGGAAAATTAACTCCGTCTCGCCATTTTGAAAATCTGAATCTTGTAAATTAACTACGATCATGCAACGGTGGTACAGGCCTACTAAAGGTTGCAGGCCAATACCTTTAGACTTCGAGGACTTCGATACTATATAGGCATCTAGAGGTCGGTTTTTGGGTTTAACACTAGAACTACCAATCCAGTCAAAATGACTGGTCTCAGAATTTTCCTTTTGGCAATCACCGAACACATACACCTGCTTTAAGAATAAACTTGGCATCAACTCGTATTAAGAAAGAATTGTAATCAATATCGTAGAGATTGCGTGGGTGTTAAATAATATAAAACTATTTATTAGACATAAAATAATAATACAATGTGCGGTGACGGTAAAGACTACGAATATAGATATATATCAACTAAACTCTTACGACTACAACTAACGACACGATTATAACTAACACAATTACAACTAACAACACAATTACAATTCACTGACCCAGCTTGACTATTTCTTAAGCACTATCTCTCAAAAAGAAAGCCCCCTAACTATTTCTGCCTTCCTTATATATTCCCTAAAAAGCCTCCCCCAACATGACCAAATATAGTCATGCTAAGGGTCTGACGCATCGCTGGGGTTTTTCCGAATGACCTGGCCCTCGAACCCTCGGCGACTTTCCAAACCAAAGTCACCTACACACGAGGTGGGCATTCTGCGATGCTACAATATGTTCACTCGTATTCATCGTACCGCTGAAATTACTATAATCTGTGCACTAGGTACCCATTAAAGATCGGTAGTTCTAGCGTTAAAACTCTTTGGGGCACGCCGGGATTAACCCTTTGCGCTCGAGAGGCGCCCTTCAGTCGCCATTTGATAAAATTTCGAAGCTCGATATTCATAAATATGTCAAATTTCAGGTAATGTAACGGTGTGCGAGGTATCGAAATTAAAAAATACGATTTCTTATTACTGTTCAGAAAAATATCGTCAGCTTTGTAACAGAAAATCTTTGAACTCCTATCCTTCTTTGGCCAAAAAGTCGTCGAGTGCAAAGAGTTAAAAGTGTCCCATATTTTTGATGCACCGTAATGCATCGTGGGGCATTTTTAGTCCCACCTGGAAACATTGCAATGGCTGCATACGCATTGGTATATATTTCGTCTTACTTAAGCATTTGGTAATACCTTCAACAAATGTTATAAATGTATTCGCTTGCATTGGCAATATTCAACATGCCAGTACAGGTTCATCAATTGTTGCAAACGAAAGGTTTATTAAGACAATCCCTTTTCCTGGTTGTATATGAAAAATCGTAAAAGTTAATTTTTATAAAAATTAGTTCTATACCAATTCCGTTTCATTTAAAACGCAATAAAATTTCAGTGCAACACGGATTTAATTTATTATCTGAAATCCTGTGCCGCAAAGAGTTAAACTTGTGGATAAAAATGGACACCGATATCTTCTACGTTTTTTAACAGTTAACACATTAGTATATTTAGATAAAAATATTTAAACAATGAAAACAAATCGCAATAAACTATTTTAAACAAAAATTGATTGACATTTTCTAGAAAATTCTTCTCTCGCTCTCTCTCTTGCTTTTATTAACCCTTTGCACTCGGCGATATTTTCGTTACAGAAACATAGTAATTCGAAGACTTCCTGCCATAAAGTCGACGATATTTTCAAAACGGTAACTAAGAAGTGCAGATTAACAGATTAATTGTAAAGCATAGAATTATTTTACCTCGATATTCCACGCGTTGTTGGACAATTTTAAATTTGAGATATTAATTAACAATGATCTCTAGAATTTGATTAAATGGTGACTGAGAGTAGCCTTCCGAATGCAAAGGGTTAACCGTTACATACCCATGCACTATATACTACATACTAGACTGCACTCGCACATATTATATTTATATCATCGCAAATGAGTTCGTTGGTCCTTAATCACTACTTAGAAGGGCCTGCCTGATAAACGCAGACCAATTTCAAAGTCCAAAAACAATTGACTCATTGCTACTTTCACTAAGGGCCAATGGTCATCTTCACCCCATCAAAAACTAAGATTATATAAGCACCCATAAAATTTTCGAAAAATCAGTTTCAATTTCAGTTTTAGCTTTTTCCTCTCCGCCGACTTGTATTTTTCCAACGTAGTCCTGTTGCTAGAACCCGTATTGTACATTGAAATCCGGGTTCCAACACAACCTAATTCGTATTCACGCATATAAAACCAACTCTCACAAAACTCGATATATCTATTGTCGTACAACTGAATACGGTTACTTTCCTGCACGCTAAACGCTTTCATTTCATCCTAGAAATTGCAACACCGAAGATAATCGCGAACCTAATGTAACGAACAATACGCATATATTAATAAGTTAGGTTCGTGTTTCGTGTCGGACTTACGAGAGATTCACCAGATCCAAACACTTGGCTGGATAAATTTAGATAAATCCCTAAATAGAAACAAAAATCGTTAACAAGATAAAGTATGATTTAATTACAACGTTGCATTTCATCATTCAATCTAATCATTCGAGTAATCTATCCGGGGGATTTCGCTGATTTATTCAGTGGATTTTCCTAAGTATTGGATCTGCGAACGACGATCTTCGAGGAAACGATCCAGGAACTAGTTCAGATCGATAGAATAGAAATAGGGTTTACCAATTTCGCTATTACACGTCGAGCATCTCGAGCTTCCGATGTTCCCTAAAATTATCTTACCTAAAATTAGGATAAAAATGAGAAGGTTTAAAGGAATAATAATTCAAAAGTACGTAAGATATCTGATAAATCGCGGGACGTAATTTGCGTGGCTGCGTCGTGGTTTAAGGAAATTTCAGCGAATTTTGCAGATAGCTCTAGCTCTAGGTCGATTCGAGGATTGTGACACCGTGAGACGAAAGAAACGGAATGATTAATTAAAACGGACATCCGACGATAATGTCGCCCTTGGGGCGCTCGTCACACGAGGTAATCTCGTCGAATGTATGACATTGTATAAAATGTAAT